AGAGAGGACACGGAGCAGCCGCAAACTCGCAGCCCCCAGCCCACAGGAGGAGGAGGGTGAGCACAAGGCTGCTGCAGCGTCACCGCTGTGGGACAGGGAAGGAGCCCGGAGCCTGCATTGGGACGTGGGACACACAGTGTCCTCTGTGGCAGCCCCAGTCCAGCTCAGCCCTCCCCAGCCCCACAGAGAGGAGCTCTGGGTCCCTCTCCCTCGCAGCCCTGCAGGAGCAGCACCTCCCGGCCACGGCGGGAGAGCACACGGCAGCACAGGCCCCTCTATCAGCCTCATTAACTTCTCGGTGCAATTAGGGGAGCTCCGGCTGGAGCCCAGGAGCCTGCAGGGACCTCAGGTAAATGGGATCTAAAAATGCATTGCCCAGCAGACAGAGCTCCCGCCCAGCTGAGTCACCCACCAACAGCATCCACAATTCATAGCTCCATCCATCCCTCCCCCCAACCACATCCATACCTTCCTCCACACCTCCAGGAGTGACACCACAGCCTCCGAGCTGCAGAGATCTCCCATGAAGCACACAAGGCACAAGAATTTTTTTTTTTTTTGCTGCAACGTGTTTATTATGTGCCAAAAACTACACCACAGCTTACTCCACACGTCTGTAGGAGAGTGCAGTCTTGCCTGCATATACTACAATGAGGTAGAGACTTCACACACAGCTTCACAAAACCCCACAAAGAGCAGCTGGGATATGCAACAATGCAACATCAGCTCAGCAGGAAAGAAAAAAAAAATAATCATAGTAAAGAGGGAGAAATTATGACACTGGTTCTTTGGCACACAGCTTCCAATAGAGGGGAAAGTAACAAAATAATGTGATCAGCATAATTAAGGTCTCAAATCCCAGCAGCAGCATTTCAGTCGACTGCACTGATACTCCAAACATCTCGGGAAGGAAAGGAAAATTACTTGTCCCCTCTAAGAGAAAGGGCTCCCAGGAACCTTCATCGTCCACCAAAACGCAGCCCTTTTTTAGCTTGTTACAAAAGAAAAGGTAAGTCCCGTGACTTTGTGTGATTAAAAACCTCTATCAACCCCCCGTAAGTGCAACTTAAAAAAGTGCAACAAACTATTTAAAACTATATACAGCAGCTCAGAGATCCTCATCCCGTCCAGTTTCAAATCCAAAAACAAAAAAAAAGCCCGGCCTGTCCCGTTGCAAACCCCTGGATTTACAACGTCCTGCCATCAGCCCCCAGACACAAATTGCAATAATGTTAAAAGCTGCCAGGAAAAGAAAAAAATCTCTCATTTCAAACGACTTAAAAACTGTTTTTAAGAGTGTAAAAAGGAACTCGTAAAAACCCTCGAGCGTAAAATATGAAATATGATTTGGTTTAAATGAAGAGCAAAGTCTCCTTGTTGTTACAGTAAAAAACGCCAGCTGAACACCCAGGTCACACCATCCAGGTGGGGGTAAATGAATGGAAAGGCACTGTATGGCAACGGCAAAACAATGACCAATGAGACCTGCGCTCTCTCCACCAGTATTGCAAGGAATGTAAAAAAGCGCCTTTAAAAAATAAAAAAAACCAGGGCGGGGGCGCCTGCGGCGACGCCCCCGCGACACGTGGCCCTTGGTTGGTTGGGTTTATTCGTTTTCAATTTTTGCTTCTCGTCAGCAAACCAGGAACCAAAGTCTGGGAACTGCAGAATGGCTTGAGGGGCACTCCCCCCCTCAAAACACCCCCAAACAAACCCCAACAAAACTCACTGTGCATTAGTGCAGAAACAAAAAGACCAGCAAGTGCAAACATGAATGTAAGATTTTTGTTTTGTCCCCATCAGTCCTCAGGAAGAACCTTCCCAGCCGGGCCTGGCTCCGGCGGGCGCTGCTGCGCTCTCCTCGTGGCAGGCTCTCCCAGGACTCTGCCCGTGCCAGCCCCGGGCCCGGTGCCCCTTAGCTGGAGTCCCGGTTCTTCTGGTTGCGCATCAGCGGGCGGTGGTGGCGCAGGACCTCCATGGAGTGCTGCCAGTGCCAGCACGAGCGGCAGAAGTACTTGAAGCAGATCTGTGGGCAGAGCACAGGGCGGGGTGACACCAGCAGAGCCTTCACCCCTGCCCGGTTTCACAGCCCCCACCCAGCAGCACAGTGGATCTGTGGGTTGGACAGGGAATGCCAGCGATGCTGTGCAGGGCCTGGTGTGCCCAGCTTCCATCTTTTGAACAGGTTTGAAAATCAGGGACTGGGCATGGGAGCAGTAGCTGGGCTCTGCCAAGGCTCCCATCACTCCCATGGCATTCATGCCCCCTGCTCATAGCCCATCCCAGCTCCTCTGCCTGCAGCCACAACTCCCTGTGCCTCAGCCAGCCCCAGGGGCATCCACCCCAACCCCAGCCCATCATGGCTGACAGAGCAGCAGCCTCCCCTCCCCTCAGGTGCACCACAAAGTCCCAGTGCTGGCAGAGCCCCAGCAAACTGCAGCACCCATGGCTCAAAGCCAGCTGGACACTGCCTGCCTGGGCCTCCTGGCAAGCACCAGCATTGCCCTCCCCATGAGGGCTGCACCTCCTCCAAAACAAGGTCACCATCCCAGCTGAGCCCCATCCTGCCCACTGGGGAACAACCAGTGTATATATCCCCAAATCCCAGCAGCAGGGCCTGATCCTCCTCAAGAAAACCCCTGAGCACAGGCTGCAGGAGAACTGGCCTTACCTGGTCTCGACAGAAGAATGGGCCAGGCTGGGCATTGCACACTTGGCACATGGAGTCCTCCAGGTATGGGTCGATCTGAACCTGCAGGAGAACCAGGCAGTGGGCATGGAGCAGCACCTCAAACCCACCCCCAGCAGCTCCCCTGGGGCTGGCAGAGCAGCAGCCCCACTTCCCACGGCTTGAGCAGGAATGTGGGGCAGCCCCAGGAACACTGGTGCCCCCAGCAGTCACACCCACCATGCACAGCCCCCTCCCCGGGCTGCCCCACCAGCCCCACTCACCTTCTTGGTAAACTTGGTGGTTTTGATCTCCACAAACGCAGCAGTCACAGCCTTCAGGTAACTGCGCTGGTTGTTGAAGGTGACACGGCCCGACCCTGCAAGGAGCCAGACCACAAAGGTTAGAGAGGAACAGCAGAGATCAAGAGGGAGCTACTGCCAGCACTGTCCCCTCCCCAGTGCCACTCAGACAGGGAGACGTGGTGCTCTTCTCCAGGCACCACATCCCCAGGATCAGCAGTGCTTCACGCTACACCTGAAATGCACCAGAGCTGAGACAGCTCAGCAGCTTTTATCCCAGCCCCCTCACCCCAGAGCCTTGTGTTCTGCAGCCTCATTGCTGGTCAGCAGCATTCCAGCACCACTTGCTTCCAGCCAAGGTCTATTAAGTTTCAGGACTGACACTGGCAGATCCCTATAGCTCAACCACAGGACAAAGTGCCACCCAAAACCCATCCATTCCCCTCCCAAAGCATCACACAGGACACAGGCAGGAGGGCCTGGATCCAGTTTGGGGTTACAGATGCCCTCAAGCAGCACAACCAACCAGGGCACAGCTTAGTTACCAAAACTGAGCTCTGATTGCTGTGACTTTAGGACAGCACTAAAGATGAAAGCACCACTGACCTGTTGGGAGATGGATCTTGCCTACTTGGCGCAATCTGGCACTGCATGAAGCACAGGAGGTTGGGGTCACACACTGGGATCTCACAGGGCCAGCACAGGGAGGTTCTGTGACACCTCATTCACAGCCACACTGAGGATTTGCCTCAAGTCTCATACTGCCCTTCCCACCCTCCTTGAGACTGTCCCCCTAAAGGCACTGCAGGGGCTTTGCAGCACAACACGCAGGCCCTAAACCTGAGCCTTGCCCAGAAAAGTCTGCTCTCCAAGCACAGTGACCAAGCAGTGACAGCTCTGCACCACCAAGCTCTGACACGGTTACTGCCTGGCAACATCAGGAGATCCACAGTGTCTCAATTTGTGACTTGCTGCAGCCTGAGTCTGGAAAGCTGGTCCTGA